TGGAAGAGTTATCGCATATGACTCTAGGCAATTGCGTCCTCGTGAAGTAAATTATCCCACTCATGATTTGGAGTTGGCAGCGGTGATATTTGCTCTCAAGATATGGCGACATTATTTATATGGTGAGACTTTTAAAATCCTCACTAATCATAAAAGCCTGAAGTATATTATGGATCAGAAGGATTTAAATAGTCGCCAGAGGAGATGGATTGAACTTCTAAAAGATTATGATTGTAAAATTGATTACCATCCAGGTAAAGCTAATGTAGTTGCTGATGCCCTAAGCAGAAAGGGGAATAAGAATATAAATGATCTGGTTGATTTGAGGGCAATGAATGTTGATTTGGAAGTGGATGGTGTAACAGGGTTACTAGCTCGGTTGAATATCCGACCTTGTTGCATGACAAAATTCGTGAGAAGCAGAAGGAGGACCCAGAGTTGGTAAAAATCATTCAAGACATTGAGGAAGGAAAAGAAAGCCCATTTGAAATAGTAGATGGCATGTTGAAGATGAATGGAAGAGCATGTGTTCCTAATGTTGATAACTTGAGGAAAGAGATCCTAGATGAAACTCATTCTTCTGCTTATGCTATGCACCCAGGAGCAACTAAAATGTATCACACGATCAAACCATATTTTTGGTGGCGTGGGATGAAAAAGGAAGCGGCTGAACATGTTTTCACATGTCTGGTATGCCAGAAAGTTAAGGCAGAACATCAAGCTCCTGTAGGGAAACTGCAACCACTTCCAATTCCAGAATGGAAGTGGGAAAGAATCACAATGGATTTTGTATATGGTCTCCCATCATCAAGGGGAAAAGATGCAGTATGGGTTATTGTGGACCGACTGACCAAATCGGCTCACTTTTTACCCATTAGATGGAAACCATCACTGGAGACTTTGTCTCAACTATATATTAAGGAGATCGTCAGATTGCATGGTGTACCAATTTCTATTGTCTCTGATCGAGACCCGAGCTTCACATCTCGGTTTTGGCAAAGTTTACATGATGCCTTGGGAACTAAACTGCATTTTACTTCAGCTTATCATCCTCAAACAGATGGGCAGAGTGAACGAACCATCCTTACCTTGGAAGAATTACTTCAATCATGTGTAATGCAATGGGAGGAATCATGGATTGACCATTTGCCCTTAATTGAGTTTGCTTACAACAACCAGTACCATAGTAGCTTGGGTGTTCCACCATATGAAGCACTTTATGGGAGGAAATGCAGGACACCATTATGTTGGGAGTTAGAAGGAGCAAGGCAAATCTCAGGGCCAGAGATAGTTCAGATCACAGTTGACAAGGTCAAGGAAATCAGGGATCGTTTGAGGGTGGCTCAAGATCGACAGAAAGTTTATGTTGACACGAATAGGCGTGAAGTTAATTTCGAAGTGAGAAAGTATTTCTCAAAGTTTCGCCCTGGAAAGGCGTAATGAGATTTGGTAAGAAAGGGAAACTTGCACCTCGATATATTGGACCATATAAAATCACAGAGAAGATTGGACCAGTGGCTTATAAGTTGGCATTGCCTCCAGAACTATCTCAAATCCACAATGTATTTCATGTTAGTATGCTGAAGAGGTACAAAGTGGATCCTTCCCATGTTATAAAACCAGAGGAGATCGAGTTGGGTCCAGATTTGACATTTGAAGAGGTTCCAGTTGAGATTGTTGATTATCAGATTAAGACTCTTCGTAGGAAGGAAATTCCAATGTTGAAAGTGGTGTGGAGGAATCAAGAAAGTGAGAGTGCTACCTGGGAGACTGAAGCAAGTATGCGAGAGAAGTACCCTGAGTTGGTAGCGACATACTTTGCAGGTTAACAATCTTGCTTAGTGAGTTATGTTTTGAATTTGCTGATATGTTTTGTTGTGATAGCCCAGTGTAGGTTTTTGAAACCTTATATTGGGAACTTGAGGTGTTGTGTGTTTAGTTATGTAATTCAGATCTCCTAACCTAAGAGTTAGGTAATAACCTTAGGTATGATCGATCATGTCAAGAGTAAGTAAGCGGAGTAAGGGTACAACTCAAGGTTAGATTTCGGGGACGAAATCGTTTAAGGAGGGGATAATTGTAAGATCCCGTTCCGGCAAAACCCATATTTCGATCGCTAGAAAGTTCGCGATTTAAAATCGAGCATTTCGACACTATTTCGACGAAAATCGGATTATCGATCGATCGGATAAGTATACGTATTAATTATATATATATATATATATATATATATATATATATATATATATATATATTAATTAAGCGGACGGGCATATATATATAAACCCTTTCCCCATCCCTTTTATTCTCATCACCATCGTCATTTTTCCATTTCGGACCGAGAGAGAAGCAGAGCGAGCGAAGTGCAGAGAGCGACTGTGGAAAAATTCCAAAGCTCCAATCTTGAGCCCTAGTGATCCAAAAATTCCGTAAGTAATGCCTAATCCATCCATTCATCGTGATTTATCGATTTAGAGCTTTAAAACGAGTTTTTGATTCAAGAATTTCTCGAATTCTCGGTAAGCCAAATTAGGGTTTCGGAGTATCCGGAAGCCGGATTGAGCCCAAATTTCATATACGAGCTTCCTGCAGCGAGGTAATCAATCCTCTAGTTCTAATCCCTGAATTTCGACAATTATTTAGGTCGGGGTCCAAATCGCTGAATTTAGCTCCGGCCAAGGTTTGATGTGTTTTTATCGAGAATTTAACACGGAGCCTAGAACTAATATTGACGGGGATACTGCAGGGGATATTAGGGTAATCTCGGATTTTGATTTCGGGCTTGTTTGAGAAAAGTGAAGTTGGGGTACGGGAGGCTAGAACCGGTGTTTGAACGACCAGAACTGGTGAGGGATTAGCACGGCATACCGGGTTTGTCGTATCACGATAATTATATTGATGCTTAGAATTGACCTAGGTGAACTAGAATGGCATGATTAGGGGTGTATGAACTTTTGTGCTATATGATGAACCCTGGACTACTGTATGATATTATTGACTTGTCCTAATCGAGATGGGCCTTGTTTATGCTGATGATTTTGTATATGTTGCAAATTGTGGGCTTGACTGTTGATATGCCTTATGATGGTTCGAAAAGGTGATTGGGTATGATTTTTCATGATTGATGTATTTGGATGTACAAGTGGGAAAATATATAACCCATGGTGATATTATGATGTTTAAGGAGGATGACTTGCACGAGGGTTTATCCCGAGGAAGTGCAATTATACGACTCCTGATTTACCTATGTTGAGCCAATTATGGCCAGGTCAAGTACATGTGCAAGTAATGAATTATGATTAAGCAAGATGAGATATGAATCATGTATAAGGATACCAAATATGAGTGATGTGGTCTCACGGTCAGCTACATAGTAATTAGGGCTCCCTATGCTATTACTCTATTATGATAGGTATGATAGTCACACCTCTCATGTGGTGGTGACTGAAGATTCTTACGAGATATGACCACACCCAGAGCGGTGTCGGGGTATGACTACACCCATAGTGGTGTGGGGTATGTATGACCACATCCGACGGGATGTTGGGTTATGTATGACTACATCCGACGAGATGTGGGGTATGTTTCACGGGAGAGTTATTAGCATGGGAGTAGCCAGGCGCCTATAAGTAAAACATGATAAGATGCATATGCATGAGTCAAAGTGGTTGAGTCTTTTGCCTATTGGGATGTCGAATGGCTGAGGTTTGATCCTAGTGCTTTGGCTTGTTTGCTAGAATGTATGGTAGGGGTATGCTCTGTTATGAACTCACGATGCTATGATTATCTCACTCAGCTATGAGCTGACCCTCATTTATTCTTTTTCTCTGCTTATGCCATGTGTAAGCAGATCATCATCAGCAGAAGTAGATTGGTGTATAGGTGGGAACTGAGCAAGAGTTGAAGGCAAGATGAGGTATGGTCTTCAACTATTCTGTGCTTGGACTACTACTCGGGATTTTGGCCAGTGATCCACACCTTTTTGTAAAATGTTTTGAGAACGTTTTTCATGTGCATACTAGCTTCTGATGTAGTGTGAGATATCCACAGGTGTGGAAAGTTGATGATATGTGTATATTTATGTAATTATGTAAGTTGTGACGATTATGGCATGTATCAGTATAGTATGCAGTTGTGTAACATGAAGCGGTGACTATGGCTATGAAAAGCCAATGCGTATGGCAGTGAGTGTATATGCTTGTCTATGAATGCATGGATTTTAGATGAATTATTTTGCAGGATTAGATGGAAGAACTGTTAGCCCATTATGCGAGTAATTCATGTCGAAATTTTATTTGGGTAAATTTTGATAATTAATGTAACACCCGAGATTATTTCCGCTGCAATTGTATGAACAATATGATTAGGCAAAACGTATAGGGTAGGGTGTTACATGGCGGGTCGGGTCATCATTTTTTAGTGTTAAAATTAGCTGACTGTGATTTTCCGTTAGCCACGTCATCACTTAACGGTCGTCATTAACGGAGTCTAACGGATCCAGGGGGTGGCCACCCCGGGCCCCGGCCCAGCCCTCCTCTTGATCCATAGTTAGTATAGGCTTTATGAATTTTTCGATTTTAGATATTCGGGTCGTTATTATTTAAAATAAGATTGGGTATAATTAGAAAAATGATTCAGATGAACATATTCAAAATCACTACTCTAAATGTAGCTTATAAATTCTAACCCCAAAGGTTATTCGTATAAAAAATAATGAAACCTAAAGTTCAAAAAGTTTAACACGTAAAAGATTAAAACATATATGAGGTTTGTTTCCTTGAAAATTTACTAGAGCAGCTGGTGGATATAGGGATGGAAACACGATGCAAATTGATTAGTAGATTGATTTGTCTTGTGTTGACGCCGCTCGCTTCAATAGCTAATACGAAGATAACCTGTTCAACAATGAAACATGTGAAAATTGATTTACTCAACAAAAATGAGCGATAAATTTGTAGCAGATTGCTCAAGTATTTTATTTGAAATAGTGTATACTATTGATATGGATGTGGACTCCATTATTAATGCATTAGCTAAATTAAAATACCGTCGTGTACAATTTACATTGTAAAAAAAATTATAATCAATATATATTTTTACGATTCTAATTTTCTAATAAAATGCGACCCAGTGCACTTCTGTGTTCTAGATCCGCCGCTGGGTAACAGACGGCCGGCGGGAGCATGGGAAGGATAGCGGCCGGGTTCAACTCACATTTTTGTCTTATTTTAAATTGTTAAATAAATAATCGGTTTAAATTACTATCCTGTCCTTCATTAAATGAAATTAATATGAGCCATTAGATTTAAATGAGGCTGAAGGGTGGAGATTTACTTAGTCACATGACTAAGGGACACCCCCCTTAGTCACCTGATCTTGGCCCGGATAAAATAGAAGAGGAAAGAGAAAGTTTGTGTGGCTGGAAAGAGTTGAAGAAACAAAGGCAAACAAAAAATTTAAAAAGACCCTCAAAGTTTTATTTAGTAACGAAATGGTCACTTGGTAATCACCCTGACACTCTCGACCGAAAATTTGACAACACCGAGTTTAGGTGTGTTCATTTAACTCTAAGAACCAAAACACATCAACATCGAACTCAACCCACTTTAATCAGATCAAATGTTTTACAATTTAGCAGCGGTTTGGATGGAAAGCAGATCGACTATTTAACAAAATTCACACCTAAACCGACCCATTACAAAAGTTGTCAAAACTCGCTTTTGACCCAAATTTCGTGATCACCTACCAGGTTCAAGTCTTTCTAATCCGGTCGAATTAACATGAACACACATGAATTTGGGTTCAATTGTCAAGACACTTAAATTTTAAATGACACCACTAAATATAATAATTACGACAATCATAAGAATAAAAAAGAAAAAGAAAACTCGAACTTCAAAGAAATTAGCAGCTCTATTTAAATATATGTTTTTGGAAAATATATATACGGTAAATTGGTAATATATATTTTTCTCGTGGTAAATAAAATATTTAATTTTATTATTGCATGCAACGTCGAGGGCGTACCTTTACAACTTTGCCTCCACCGAGGAGGATGTCGGATCGGAAATCCCTGTCCACGGTGGAGGCGGCCACTGTCACGATCCACGGCGCACCATTAAACATCGTCGACGGCCGGGGCCCGCTGTTTCCGGCTGAACAAACGACCGTGATCCCATGCTCGACGGCGTGGAAGGCACCGATGGCCTGTGGGTCCTCGAGAAACTCCTTGAGATGGCGAGAGCCGACTGACATGGAGATGACGTGGACACCGTCGGCGATCGCGTCATCTTCTGCCTCCCCCCGCTGTAAGAGAGCCCAAAATCATAAATACTAAAAAATAAAGTATGAATGAATATTGTCCGATTTAACAAATAAATAAACAAAATCACCTCTGAAGTAGGGAGCCGAGAACCGCTTCTTTCATGGCCAAGTTTGTTGGGTTTGCATCCCCCATATACACTATGTAAACATCATCATCGGAGGAAGGGCCTGAACTGCGGCGGCCGAATTGGCTGCCGGTGGAGTCCGCCGGAGGTGGTCGTGCTAGCAGCAACGACAACAAGAGGATTGTGGAAGAGATGATAACCCTCAACATTTTGGTGTGTGACATTTGGAGCCAAGTATTAATTCAGAGGAGAGTAATATTAATGCGGTAGTGAAATGAAATGTACCTATGTACGTAGCCTATTTATAATAAGAGCTGACTGTGACTAGCTCCAGATTTCATGCCGTGTTTATGTAGAAGGAAGATGCGTGCGGATCTCACCAGCTCGCCCGCCCACATGCGCGCGGTCTGTGTTTGTTGGAAACTGCATGCAGCATACGTACTTGCATGATGTATGCTTCTCACGGGGGAATTTGCCTGATGAACTATACCTACCTACGTACTTGCATAGGTAGCTCATTCCTCAACAAACACAACAACTATAAACCTGACGTATGTTACATGTAGTAGTTGTTGTGTTGGGTACTTTCTTCAAATCACGACGACGTTTCAACTGCGAGTTTCCACTTGCCGGATTTCTTTCCATATCACGGTGCCGTTTCTGCTTCAAGCTTCACTTCCTCAAAACGACGCTGCGGAAAAGATATGTATAGACTGAACAAATGAGACTTCCCGGCACAAAGATTTTTTCAATTATGAAATGAAATGATATGTGCCTATAGCAGATCATAAAAGAGCTCAGGATTAGGAGTTTCAGACCAGTTTTATTTTATATATTTGATTATTAATTAACGATGTCATTAATATAGTATCCAAGAATACCAAATTATATCGTACCAAAATATTATGAAATTGGTATTGTGATTTTGAATTTATTTTGTAATTGACATTGAGATTATATATGGGATGAAGAGGGAAGGCTAGAAACGAGCTTAGAGTTAGAATGATATAATTTGTGCGATGATATTAGGGGATGAAGAGGGAAAGCACTAGCATCCTTAAGAACATTCAGGAAAGTTCTTTCACCATGTTGATGATATTGTGCGGAAAATTTGTGCGATGAACATTACTAATGGTTGTAAGACAAAATTTCGAACTAATCTTTGGATTTTTCAAGTTCCCCTTATTGACATGGCAATTGCGGAGATCCGTGTTGAGGTCAAAGAGATGAGGGACAATAATTTGTCTCATGGCAAGTGATAGAGTTTGCTCATGTACTCCCGCCAACAGTTGTCATCGCGATTCGATCAATCTTGGCCGATCCCATGTCTACTGAAGACGACACATTGTCCTGGATATCTTCGATCGGCTAATGGAGCCTTCAACACAAACTTGGCCTATAAGTCATTGGATAACTCAGAACTACCTAGCTCTCCTACAATCTGGAAATCGATGTGGAAGCTTCACATCTCGGAGCGTGTTCAGACTTTCATCTAGATTGCAGCGAAGGGATGTCTGGCAACCAACAAAATCCACAAATTCAGAAATCTCACTCAATATGGTAAGTGTGCCCTATGCCGTGAGATGGAGGATACTCACTTACAATGTTTGCGCGATTACAGGTTCTAGGCTTCTAGCTAAAACAGTTTGGAACAAGTTGATTCCCAGTCATCACAGATCGACCTCGTATGTGGGATGGTTGCGGCAGAAATCCAAGATGACTCATGCGGCAACTGGACGGGTGATTGGGGAAGCTTCTTCTGCCTGATGGATTGGGACCTGTCGAATCATACAAACGAGGACATCTTCCAAGGCAAAGTTATGACAACTTCGATGCTCTTCAACTATATTTCAATTAAAGCGGTTGGTCAAGAAGCCGCACCTTAAAGGAAGAATTAATTGGATGTCAAGAAACCGGTTGCTTCCAATAATTCGAGTTGTTGGGAGAAGGTTATGTTGGATCTTATACAGGCCCATGTATGGTACTTAACCACTTCCTTACACGCCCCCTCAAACGAAAGCCGCCGCATGGGCTTGAAGTTTGCACAGGCTCGTCATACCATGTGCTTGAAAGACAACAGTTAATATTGGGGGTCGTGAGGACTTGAATACGTGACCTCAAGAACAAACCAGCTATGATACCATGTAATAAACCAGTTGGTCCCAATAACTCGAGTTGTTGGAAGAAGGTTATGTTTGATACCATGTGCTTTAATAAACAGTTAATATTGGGGGTCGTGGAGATTCGAACACACGACCACTTGGCAAAACCAGTTCTGATACCATGTCATGAACCAGTTGCTCTTAGTAACGCGGCTATAGCGACCAACTCTGCTACCAAAATATTTTGGTTGTGAAAAAGTTTTAATAACCAATTTTTGACTTTTAGAGACGAATTACTTTCGTTGCAAAAACCATTTTTTCTTGTAGTGAATTATCTATTCGGTCCATGCTTTCTTCAGTAATTATAAAATTTATAGGATCAAGGACCGGACCGTATTATACTAATTAAGGTCCGGGCAAAATACCGGTTTGGTCCACTACGGTCCGGACCCTTGCACACCACTAACTATCACCAAAAATGTTATAACAAATTAAAGCGTTCAAACTATCTCCCAAAAGAAGTCATAATTATTTTACTAAGATGTTACGTTGATTGGGAAACCGTGATGGAAATAAGATCAATAAATTTATTGCAGATGCCTTCTAATGTAGAAGAAGACGGAGAGAAGAAGAAGAAGTCTACCAAGAAAAAAAATATTTCGAAGTCTCCACTTCCGAAAATTAATAAAGGTGTAGTTGAATTTTTTTAATTTAATTCAATCCTAAAGGTATGCCAAATATGATTTGGGAATTCAATTCATTACTAAAGATTTGAATATGACATACTAAACATATGAATTTATTTTAACTTTAATAAAATTATTATCCCCTTTGAAAATCTACCAATTTGATCAAGTGCGTGGACTTTGATCCCAACTACTTGAGTACGATGTTTAGTGAAATTATATATTGTAGATCGGAATATATGATTTTCAATTATTATGATGTTTTCCTTATATATTATCTCATTATAACTTTATTATTGTTCTAGACAATGCATTATCAACTGATGATTAATTATATTCACAAATGATATGTATATAACGTCTGAATATCTTAAATGAGTTTACGGTGTAAGCGTTCTCATTTCTTCTGTCGAGTTAAAAGAACATTATTTCCAATGACTTTTTTCATCTTGTCAGTAATAATAGTATTTATGACTGATTATCAACGACATAACTAGGTTTTCATAAGTAGAAACTGACTATTTTTGATGATTTTTTTGGATTTGTCAGAAATAGTTTTTTTCTGTAAACATTTTCATTTTTTCATGACGAGGTAGTATATTATTTTTGATGACTTTTTTAGCCCTGTCATTAATAATATTTTTTGACAGATTATTAATGACGGACGTCAGTACAAAATGACTATTTTTTAATATTGTTTTGGCTGCCTCAGATTTTTTTTACAAATCAATTTCGATGTCTGCGAGAGCTCGTCAAAACAATAGTTTATTTATGATGGGTGGCGTTTTAAGTGTAAGAAATAGTAATTGGTTCTAACGACAAAAATAATTTCCGTCTGTAATATTGACCAATTCCAATGACCCCAAATATTTTGTCAATAATATATGCGCTATTCCTGACGAAAAAATAACAGCGTCAGAAATAGTTAGACTTCAACACGTGATTCTCAAAAATTGGGCTTTACTGACGGGAAATCTTACCATTTCTGATGACATATTTTGTTTGTCAGTGCTAATGTTAGCATTACCGACGAGAACATTTTTTCATCGGAAAAAGACTTTCTCTGACGCATTTTTATAGTCATTAGTAAGTTTTCGTCACAACTGTCTGCCTTTTTCGATCAATTAGTACTCATGAACTATTTATGGCGTCGAAATTATTTTTTTGTTTTGACAACAGGGTCTTTGTCGTCAATAATTTACATTATTTTCTGACGGTAATTTTAATGACGACAATAATATTGAGTATTTCTAACGCGGAAAATAAAATAGCCAAAGATAATGAATGTGGGAAATTGAAAGCGTCCCAAAATAAATATTCATGACGACAAAATTCACAATTATTGACGAAAATTCAACTTTGTTAGTAAAGATGCATATAGTACTGACGAAAACTGTTGTTCGTCGGAATTATGCACCTTTTTCGACGCAATTTTTGAGTCGTCAATAAGCTTTCGTCACAACAGTATGCCTTTTTTGTAGTGCCCGGAAAGTGTTGCCAAGTTAAAGAGACCAAAAAGGCATAGAAAATTACTTAAGGATTTGCATGCAGCTAGACCACCCTTCTCTCACATTAAACTAAAGAACAATCAGGTACATATTTATATACAAGGGACTTAGCTTTCCAAGGCAGGTAGTTCAATCATTTGTGCTAAGATCTGTTAAGGAAATAGTTCAGGTATACTATTTTCTTGCAAAACAAGTTACATGTAAGATCACGAGGTTGTGTCTTCCCACATCGTACCAATTTAACCGATTGATCACATATTACATTAAATTGATCGGATTCGAGGTTAATGGCTTCCCACATCTTACCAGCAAGGTACTTCGAGAGATTCTCTTGGATCTTTCCCCTTTCATTTCCATTCACACAATTAAAAAATCCCAACAAGACCCTCTTCAATCGAGATTCCTTCATTCTCCCACCTTTTTTTTTTTGAAAAGAAGTTCATTGAGATTACGATTGGGCTCAGCCCAAAAAAGAAATGTACAAGCTACAATGTAATAGGATTAAAAGAAAGACTCAAACAACAAGGCCCAAAGACAAACCCAGACCCAATAGGGCCCGAGCCCAGGACCAAAACAAGAAGGACCCTTCCCAAACCCTAACACACGAGCCCCCTCTGTTTCCTCCAGCCGTCGCGGTCAGAGACCATCTCCAAAACCAAACCAGCACCGCCCTCAAACAGGGAGCCCCACCGCGAGCCAAGCAGAGAACCGCACCCACCAAACTCGATCGGCGAGAGGAGGAGGAAAAGCCTCCGACCAACCCACCACGAGCCGAACACCACACTACATTCCGCCGCCAAATCTCAAGGGAACCAGCAGAGCGACCGGACGGTCGGCGAAGGAGACAAAGGGTGGATACATCTATCCTCAAGCTCTTCCCACCGGATCCACGTCAAGGGATGCATCTCCGAAT